AAATGCAATTGTTTATAGTTTTTATATATATATATATGACTTCAAATAATAATAATAATTATCATTATTATTATTAAATCCAGGTTACTTGTGTTCCTTTAAGTTCTCTCTCATTCAGCTCTTTGTTATCGATTGCTGTAGCAGGAGATTCGTCCTATCCTTCCTCACAATGTCATCAGGACATTATTTAGCATGTTTTCTCGCGGGAACAATGGCTGCTCACTGACTGTGTTAATATTGAGCCAGTGAAATTCTGTCGTCTACACTAGCATTTCTGCATTTTATTTCAGAGCTCTGGTTCAGTTCATGTTTAATGTGACAATGTTTAGTTAATTATCTAGTCCTTTCTGCTCCCCAATGTAGAACAGCGTGTTCACCATAGATATGTGTAGTAGGTAGATGCCGCATATCTATGGTGTTTACTATCATGATTGAGGATATTAGGACGCGCGCGCTCTGGTGGTTGGTTCTGACGTCAGTGAATATGTATGTAAATGAGCGTCACGTTTTACACGTGTTAGTGGATGTCTGTGTGTTGCCATGGCAACAGCGGCTGAGCGGAGACTGTGCTTTTGTGTCTGTTGTCATGGCAACTGATAACTGTATCGCCAGAGATGCAGAGAGGAGGACGATGCTTTCTAATGCAGCTTACAGACATGAAACCACATTTTCAGCTGACCTTTGACCCCCGGTGTCAGTGTTTCAGGTGCTTTCAGAGCAGCTGCATATCATGAATAAGCAAAAAAAAATTCCCAGTACATGCGATATAACCAGCTAAAACGGTCATGCGTGACATGAATCGCGAATCGTACGGGTTCACGGTGTCCGTTCGGTCACACAGAACTATACGAAGATATCTGTGAACAGAAGCAAAGCATTATGGGTACAGATGCGGTGTGAGAAATTAGAAACACAAAGGTTTTATCAGAACTCAGCTGTTCTTTTTACTCATTTACAGAAACACACATTAATGTCTATAAAATAGTGCTTTCATTTACACTGAAGGAAAACACTTCTGCTTCAGGTACGTTCACCAACACGAGCAGGAGCGTTTACTAACCGCACAGATGCTTATGGAACATAACGATGACGAATATACTTTATTTTCATGGCGAGAACAGAAATCAAATCACTTATTCGGAGTTAAGAGCAACTCTAGTTTATAGAGTCTAGAGAATTAACGCAAGATTAAAATAATGGCATAAAGTAAAGTTTAAGACGTGTATTATTTACATTCTCTTCATATGTACAACTAACAGTGTGTCATTTGTGCCGTGATGATCCGAGAGAGACGACCTCGTCACATCCGATCCACGGCTCTGATGCCGCCGTCCACCGTCAGCGTCCCGAACCTGAAACACAAGCGCCACCATAATTACAGTTTGATGGGATTTGCCATACCTGTTTTTAAATTGTTTGCATGTTTGTCACACTTAAATGATTCAGATCATCAAACAAATTTTAATATTACACAAAGATAATGCAAGTAAATGCAAAATGCAGTTTTTAAATAATGATTTTATTTATTAAGGGAAAAAGCTGTCCAAACCTGCCTAGCCCTGTGTGAAAAAATAATTCTAATAAAATCTAACAACTGGTTGTGCAGCAACAACTGCAATCAAGTGTTTGTGATAACTGGCAATGAGTCTTTCACATCGCTGTGGAGGAATGCTGTCCCACTCTTCTTTGCAGAATTGTTTTAATTCAGCCACATTGGAGGGTTTTCCAACTGCATTTTGTATTTACTTGCATTATCTCTGTGTAATATAAAAATTTGTTTGGTGATCTGAATCTTTTAAATGTGACAAATATGCAAAAAATAAAAAAAAACAGGACCTAAAAAAACTTTTCACGGCACTGTATCATACTTTCTATAAAACATTTGCAATCAGTCTTAAAAGCTGTTTCGGGCTGAGATTTTGTTGCATTTACAGCTTTTGACCAGCAGGCGTTACCAGCATTTCAAGTGATTCGAAACAGTGAGTCATTTTGCGACGCAATTGGTTCAAATGATTCAAAGCTTCGAAAAGGCTTGATTCTCCCATCACTGACTCGTCCAGCGTCAAAGTACAACAATACATGCGAATAACAACATATTTTTTTACTCCAAACTCGCATTATGTGGCTGATGTGGCTTCTCATCACAGAATGAGGCAGAAATGATATTATTTTATAGTATTCTGAACAGTGTTAAAGGCTATGTCTATTAGCATTGCATTATAAATATACATTGTCCTTATAAAAAATACCCGAGATGGCTTGAAGAACACAAATAAAGAATATACTGTCGCAACAGTGTGTTAATTCTCTTCATGTTTCATCAGCCAAATATTTCTGCATTTCTTTTTTTTTTTTTTTTGGGCTTTTATGCATTTTTTATAGATAGGACAGTAGAGAGAGACGACAGGAAAGCACTGGGAGGAGAGAGGGAACGGGATCGGTAAAGGACCTCAAGACGGGAATCGAACTCGGGTCGCCGTGAGCGCAGTTGCGCTGTATGTCGACGCACTAACCACGAGGCTATTGGCACCGACAAACATTTCTGCATTTCTATCAGCTACAGTGATAACGGATGCCCTTGTCCATATAAGGGATTTCCTGGAACATAATTTGTTTTATTACTCCTATGAGTCTCTCTTGTGGAGCTTCTGTGCGAGGGCGCCCTCCAGTGGTGAGTATGAATGAAACAAATTACATGTGAGAGTTTAGCAAGGAAAATTAATTTTCATTTTATGATTCATCATCATGGTAATTGCCATATATTGTGACACCCCTAATTAACACAATAATGATATTTAATTTTTAAATATTACGATCATCATCACTGTATATTGCAACACCCCAAATTACTACTGTTTTTGAACCGAATTGATCTAAATAATGACTCTACCGTCCTTTGTAGAGCTGAAATTGAATTTGTTTTAAATTTGATGAATTTTGTAACATTCACACTGTTATTTTCCTGTATTGTATAAAGCGCAATAGAAATCCAAGTAAATGTAAAGGTTCACCTCTCCAGGAATAGGTTGTTCTCCGCCAGCTCCTTCATGACTCCTTCCATCTCCTCCTTCAGCTTCTTCATCCTGTTAAGCAGAATTATGTGTTTATGACGGTGAATTTTCACTGGATAACTTAACCCATTCTGCACCTGTTGTTAGATTACACACCCCTGATTATCATCGGCTCTGATTGTTTACGACTCTACGCTAATTTCTAAGATAAAATAACTAGGGCTGTCAAGTGATAAAAATATTAAATCTAGTTAATTATATGATGGTTAACTAATCCAATTAATTGTGGATTAATCACACATCAATCGACTTATCAAAAAAGTAGCTTTAGAAAGAAATATTAAGATTGAACACATTGCATAAATAATGATAACAATAAAATGTGTAGTGTTTTTTTAAGCATATTGAAATAGCAAATGCATTTTAGAAAACAATGAAATTATTAGGGCTGCCCCCTAATAGTCGACTAACCGTTAGTCGACGAGAAGAGGCTTGGTCGACCAAAATTTTATTAGTCGCCGAAAAAACATTGGTGTCACGTAGAAGTCACGCAGTCCGTGACGGACAGATTGTTAACGGCTGGTCTTTGTGGTAATACAGTACATCGGGCATTCATCGACCTCAAATATGGCTTATCTGAAATATTTAAGTATTAGCAACTTGGCCGCTCAGTCTAATGTTAACCTAGAAAAATGTGCGCTATTCAAGTGTCTGTGTGGAGTGTGAACAGTAGCACTTCACTGCAGGACAGATGGAGGTGCCGGTGCGCTCCCTTGCTCTTAAAATACTCCCGCATTTTTGCTCATACAGATAAAAGTAATGCATCTTTCGAATCTGTAAAGACTCTACGTTTATTTGTGTGCACTCACAATAACAACGAAATGTTGTGTTTTTGTAAAATAATTAAAGCAAACAGGACATGCTTTCTGCCGTCTCAGTCTCCGTGAACTTGAGCGCGAAACTCCGTGTATACTTGCCTTACAGACATGAAAAATATATCTATAAAGAGTGAAATGTCTGCTTTTAAATGAACCAATTCAAATGGAAAGTAAATATTCTCAGATTATGTCATCCGTATGAAACATGCATACAGATGCATCACTACTGCAGAGATGACGAGTCAGTGTCGCCGACTTCATCTCTGAAGCCGAAAACAAAGAAAGCACTAGTTTATCGATAAATTATTAAAATGTTAATGCAGTCTCCTTGCTGTTTTTCCCTGACACATTCATAATTATTATATCTGCCGATGTGCTGTGGCAAGCTTTTTTTGCGTGCGCTTGAGCGCTTATTAGGTTATGTAGACAATTAAAAGCTCATTAATTATATGGTTTATTAATAAACATGCGACTAATAGTCGACTAATGCTTGAAATGATCGACTACTAGTCGACCAGAAAAATCTTTAGTTGAGGGCAGCCCTAGAAATTATACTCTAAATATAAAAATAAATGCGCCAGTAGGTGGCAGCAAGTCACTGTCTTAAGGAGTGAGTCGTTCAGTCATTCATTCAACCGATTCATTCAAACGGCTGATTCATTCAGAAACGAATCAAGTGACTTGACACGTCTAATTGAAGAAAACATTCTGGAACGTTCTATTTACTTTAAGAAAACTTTCCTGGCTAACCAACGGGTAACATTCTTGGGAACCAAAAATTGTTAGCTGGGATGATGCTTTTAGTCTGTAATGATCTGGACTGAGTGAATCAGCGTCAGCGGACATGTGCTTATCTCTCACCCCAGCGTCATCTCCACCAGTGTGTTGGGACTGAGGTACGCCTGCGGTTTGATTCCTCCAGACGTCATGGGCACCATCTTCTGCGGTAACAGCTCCAGCAGCTGCACACATGAGAGCCATTAGCGTCTGCGTGCCGTTACAACGCAGCTAAACGCACAGCACTTCCTGTTTACTCACTTGATACACGCGCTGCATGAGCAGGGTCACTTCCTGTTCCATGCTGCTGAACTGACCAGTCAGAGACAGGAGGTGCTTCCGCACGTGATGGAACTTCCTGTAAGGAGACGTTCATGCATCAGTCACTGCATGTGTCTGTCCAATCTCCAGAACATCTCGGACACAGTTTCCATGGCAACACAGCAGAAGAGCCATTGACAATGCACTCGCGCACAGAATACAGCGGTGTACAAGAGGTCATGTGACAGGGGTTTTACTGCGATTACTTACCTGTGGTAAAATCACCGTAAAGGCCCGTTCACACTAATGACAAAAACTATAATGTTAAAGTGCCCCTATTATGGATTTTTTGAAAATTACGTTTCATGCAGTGTGTAACACAGCTCTATGTGAATGAAAACATCCTGCAAAGTCTTAAATCTGAAAGTGCACCGTGTATAAAGTTATTGTCTCTCAACAGAAAGAGTCGACTCTGAATCATTGAAACCAGTCGTTTTTAAAACGAATACCAAGCCGTTTCATGTTGACATCAACATGAAACATTAGCACATCGCCCGTCCACTTGTTGTTCTTTTCACGTTGGTCTGAATGAAAATGCAAATTCATTCTTTGCCACTAGGTGCCGCTTTTGGAGCAGTAAAATAGCGGTTTCCCCGGTAAGGCTGTACACAAAGCAGCACTGCGCTCACAAACGCTGCTTTATCAGGCATTACAGGCAC